TGATTTGTGCAGCATTAGTGATAAGTGGACTTAATTTTCTACGTAAACTAGGGAATTTCATAGAACATAATGCGTCTTTATCTATTTAAATTCACATAGAGATATAGTGGGTTAATAGGTGAAGATAGGTTTAGTATAACTTGAGAAAGTATATCGAATAAATTTGGAAATCCCGCTGTCACATGAATAATAAATACCTTGGAAGTATATTGATATAAAATTCTATATTAGTTGATGATGGTGAAGTCAGATGCCTTAGACTTTTAATCCTTGGTGTTAATCAAAGTTAATTTAGTTTTTCTTTAATTAGTTTAGTTATTTACTTTATTCAAATTATTTAATTTCAATTGTTCAAATAAAATTAGAATTTATTAATTTTGGTACTTAATTAGTTTACGGTCTCTGTGGGACGATACTCTATTTTCATCATTATATTACTTGAACAGACTAGTACACTTGCTAGAGTGGAATTAGCTCATCATCTACCATGGACATGAAATGATTTCCCAGATTTCTAAAGGTAACTGCTTTTTGGTTACATATAAATATTCTTGGTCAATGACCTGCTAATAATGCTTAAAGGATGTTGTGCTAAATACGACCAATTTCTCTGCAACTCGTACGATATGTAACATGTTTCTTTTTGCACTACCCTCTTTAACCAGAGACGAGCTAGAAATGAAAAATCAGAAACTTAAATTTATGTCTTATGTTCTAATTTATCATTGTTTATTAGATTATTCTTTCATTATATCTTTTTTTTTTTTTTTATCAAATATTCTAATTACAACTCCTCTTAAATTACCTCTCAGTACTACTTTCCTTTTTTGTCTTTTCCTCGGGTGCCCTTGCTTACCAGGAGGGATATCATTGCTTACATCTGGCAACAACCCAATACACCCACATTTCGGTCCCCTTTTCATTTATTACTGGATAATTTTTCCCTCAGCCCACCTATCAAAAATTTGCACCAACCAAACACCATTAATGAACGAACCGGCCCAACACCGTGTCCAGGCCCACCAGAAATTTCTACATCCAGTCCATTCGTTCTAGTATCTGAAAGTGCATTTTGGTTGACGTGTACGTATAATTGAAGGAAAATATAAAGTGTTCTAACATGATTAAGACCATACAAATTATATTTTTGGGTATGTAGTTATTTTGATCATACAAATGACATGATCAAAGATCATCACACAAACTTAGATTAGTACACATCAGTCAAATTAAATTAGTCTTAATTTAGAAGTGGGATCCCTAATTCGACTAATACTAGCATTTTGGATCCCAAAAGCAGAAGGCAATTTTTTTTTCCTGGAAGAAAAGAAACAAGAAGGCTAAAGCAATAGGACAAAGTTGAATTATTGGCAAGTGCAATAATTCAGTGAGACCAATTACGCGCCCAGTTATCACTATACAGGAAAATGTTAAAGTTGCACAGAAGTTGAAATTTCCTCGTTAATGGTAACAAAAATAAAATATTATATTGTTTAAAATGTATTAAATTATATGATTAAATGATTAAAATAGAATAAATTTTTTAAAAATATATTTAATTTAAAAAAAAAAAAAGAGAAAGAAAGGAAGAAAGAATTGCTTAACAAGATTATTAAATTGCGCATATACATCTTTTTTTAAAGAAACCAAATTTTACTAAAATTAAAAAAAAAGTTTCTTTTTATGTAAAACTTAAAGGAATAGTACTTATTTGGTTTTTTTTTTCTCTTTTGTTAAAATAATATAATTTTTTAAAATAAATTTTTTAATTTTCGATAAGTAAAGGGTTAATCCAAAAATTTAGTTAAGTCATTATAAAATATTAAAAAGCAAGAGCAATAACTAATAAGACTATTTTGCCCCTGTCAAGGCCAAAATCATCTTCGTCCCTTGACTCGTTTCCAATGCGGTGAATTTTCGACTGACCTAACACCTCTTGCATTGACTTCAATTCTCTCGTAAATGGTAACAAAAATGAAGTGTTGTATAATTTAAAATAAATTAAATTATATAACTAAATTATTAAATAAAAAGTTAATGCTCCTAAAAGTACAGTTGATTTGAGAGGAAATGAAAAGAGAGGAGAAAAGCTGCGTTGTTAATCAATTGCGCATATGTAATTTCATTTAAAGAAGCCAAATTTTACTAAAATATAAAATTAGGTTATTTTCATGCAAAATTTAATATATTATTATAAAATTATGAAAAAGCAAAAGCCATAAGACAAGATAATCAGGTTTGTAGGATGTGTTGAATTAATGGCAAAGGCAATAATGCAGTGAGGCCAACTGCGGGTCCAGTTGTTTTTGATACCGGAAAAAATGATAAAGTTACAGCCTACACAGAAGTTAAAATTTTCTGTTGCAAGGACTTTTTTGCCCCTGCCATGACCAAAATCATCTTCGCCCCTTGCTTCCAATTTGGTGAAGTTTCGACGACGCCACTCTCCTGCATTGACTTCAAGTCAAGTCCGTCGTCAATGACAATTGGCGACAAAAAATAATGAGTACTTCTACGGGCTCTAACCTCTCACGACTAGAATCGGTGTACGTGCGAAGGTAGATCCACGCAAACTGTTCTTTTTTTTTTTTTTTACTAGTAAGAAATTGAGGGAAGAAAAAATAATTATAATATTGCTGCATTGGCAGCTTGAACCCATAACAAAGAAGCCAAGGGTGTTAGTGCACTGCCATCGCGGCTAAAGCCGCAAGTGCTCTTAACAAAAAAAAGAAAAGAAAAAGTTAAAAGGAAAAAAAATTTGAGTATTTAAATTATATAATTAAATTATGGTTAAATGCTAAATTTAATCCTTTAACTTTAAAAAATGTATATTTTTTATCTCGTAACAATTTTTTACATTTTTTTTATCCCTCGACTCTAAAAATTGCACAGTTTTGATCCCTTCGTCAATTAAATAAGATATGGCAGTTAAATAATTTCATGTGGCATTATCTTTTAATTTTTTGATGATGTGGCAATAATATATATTTTAATTATGTTATATAAATAAATAAAAATAAAACGTACATTAATATTTATAGTTCAAATAAAAACAAATAAAATTACTTAATTACCCTCACCCACCCAATCCCTTTTCTTCCCCTTCTTTCTTTCTCTTTCTTTCTTTCTCTTTCTTTCTTTCCTGCCCTGGGTCTCCACCAAGCTGGATTCCGATGGCTGCGACGAACCTAGCCTGACTAGGTCTCCCTTGCTGGGTTTCGACGAGACTTAGTAGGTTGGATTCGACGAACCCTGTTGGGTCTCGTTGAACCCAGCCTAGCTGGGTTTTTCTGTTTCGATGCTAGATTCATGCTTTTTCATTCTTCTTTCGATTTTCATTTCCAGTTGTTAATAAATTTGAGAGTTGATTTACAATTTGATTGTATTTTTGTTGGAATTTAATTAGAGTTTGATTGATATTGTTTATTTAAGGGTTAATTTGATTTGATAAGATCTACTAAGTTTGGGGCTCAATGAAACCCAGTAACTGGGTTCAATTTCTCAAGTTCTCTTGAGAAAAGAGAAGAAGAAGAAATGGGTTAAGATTGATTCTGCAGAGAGTGAAAATGAGAAAGGAAGATGACATGTCGTCAAAAAAGTCCAAATCAGCACCTTTTTAAGTTATTTTCGCCATGTCATCAAAAAAAATATAAAAAATGCCATGTGACCGAGTTAACGGCGAAAATTGACAGAAGGACTAACGGAGTGCATTTCGTATAGTTGAAGGATCAAAAAAGTGCAAAAAATTGTTGAAGGACCAAAAATGTGCAACCACTACTGGAAAACGCAGCATATTCGATAGAATTTTTTGTCGAATATATAGAAATTTCTGTCGATTATGCTTTAATCGATAGACATATTCGACAAAAAAAAATGTCGTATAAATGCAGTCAATAATCAGTATATTCGACAGAAATTTTCTCTATCGAATATACTCGTTAAATCGACAGATACTTACTGTCGAATATAATTATTATCGACAGAATTTCGTAACCAGATTTATAATTTTAGCAGCTTATATTCGACAACCATTGGCTGTCGATTAAACAGCCATTGGCTGTCAATTAAAGAAGTTTAATCGACAACCATTACCTGTCGAATATGTTTTTTATTTTTTATTTTTGGATTATATTCGACAGTTATTATCTGTCGATTAAACCAGTTTAATCGATAGCCAATGGCTGTCAAATATATATATATTTGAAATTATATTCGACAACCATTACTTGTCGAATATTTTTTTTTTTTGAATGCCATATTCGACAACAATTTGCTGTTGAATATACTTGCCAGTATAATAAAAAAAATTTTGAAAAAATCAACAAAATCTGGAATTAAAAATCTTATATTATTTTCTGTTAATTTTATATAAAAAATCAATAAAACAAATACAATTATCAAATTACCTAACAATATATTTATCAAACAATTTTAACAATAATATAAAAAGTAATAGATAATCATAAATAAAATTAAAATTAGCATTAACTTTAATTATTTAAAAGATAAGTTACTGTTTCTATCAAAAATAACAGAAAAAATTTATATCAAGTGATAAGAATTTTAAAGAGAAAAGAAGATAAAAAGTATAAATTACAAAATTTACCTCACATTACTTCATAATCAATGTATAAATCAATGTATAAAAATCTGGAAAAAAAAAACTATTAGTATGTTAAATAATAAGAATTCAACAAAAAAGAGAAAATAGTGAAAAGAAAAAGATGATTAAAGGTAATTTATGAAAATATAAAGAGGAGAATGTAAAAGAAAAAAGAAAAAAGAAAATAAAAGGAGAAGAAACTTAAAAAGAAATGTTATTTGCGGAAAAAAGAGAAGGAGGAGGAGAAGGGAAGAGGCAAAAAAATGAAAATGAGAAGAGAATAAGATGGTCTGCTGCCGGAGTGATATTTATATGTCAAACATCTTCGACAGAAATCCTGTCAAATATGTTTAAAATCTAAATAACTGAGAAAAATTCAATTTTTTCCGTGATAACCGAGAAATTCAATTTTTTCGGCGAGAGGCACGGGACATGGTTATATTCGACAGCCAATATGGCTATCGAATATACGGAGTTTCTTCTTTTTTTTTGGTCGGGAAGTTGAAATTTTTTCT